TTGCATGCAGGTATTTGCAGATGCACGGCCTGGAGGCCTGTCCATAGGCAGGGAGCTCGGAGCAAAACTTGCAATTCAGACTGACTGCAGTCCTGGTCATCCCGCCCGTTCGCTTTGGGCTCGGCCTCGAAAGGCTTGGAGCCGCACGGCAACTTCCTCGGCCCGGCGCTGGGCTCGTGGGAGCCCTGGGTCACGAAGAAATTTTCTCTGCGGAAGGCTGTGTGTTGTAGTCTTTTACATAGGCAGGCTTGACGACCTACTTCCTTGGAGAAGAGCTCCGCCCAAAATCAAGGCACTCGGGTAGGCATCTTTAGCTTGAGATATAAGGTCTGATTTGAGTGTGAACACTGTCAAAAGTACTTTACTGTCTTCAGTGGGAACCTCGCTAGTCACCAGAAAATAATGGCGCGGAGCTCCCAGCCCTTACTTCCTGACTTCCTGAAGCTGTAGATGTAGCAAAAAGAATTCCTGGATTTGGCCCAGGTCTTTTCAGCGGCTCCCCAAGCCGCCCTCACAGAGCGTGGATGCGCTGATCGTGCCGCTGACCTCCCAAGTGATCTCTGGATACAGGCAAACCACACAATAGCTGAACTTCGGAGGGAAACCCAGGTTTCAACAGCTAATGGTGTCATGCCTTGCGTAACGGTTCTAAGCTCAGGGGATTGGTCTGAGCATTTTCAGGCTGTCTAGACATGCTGGATGCGGCACGCAACAGCAGATCGATCTCTTGTACGATCAGATTTTTATAGAAATGGAACTGCTGCGAAGCCCAAGCCTCTGCTCCAGATGGCTTTCGTAGAGTCTGAAGCGATGTAGTGGAAACCATGCAGCACGAGTTGCATGTCCGGAAATGACCTGGCCAGGCTTGTGAATGGCGTGGAGGAAGCTGCCAACACGCTGGAAGCTCTGACACTGGGACTGGTCTAGTCGCAGCAGGGCAACACAGACTGGGCACCAAACAGCAGAGCCAGTTCGGGGGACTCTTAGAGGGGCTGCAGTGGAAGCCTGGACCAGCCTGACAACAGCTATCCGGCTGCAGAACATTTCAGATGAGCACAGGCCTGATGCAGCCTGCAAGGTGCAGGAGACACGCTACGTTTCTGCGAGCGTCTAGCATGTCTATCAGACCTATTGGGAGGTCAACACTAGGCAAGCAGGACAGCGGGCAGCGAGCCAACCTGCCTACCGAGCTGGCACACCAGCTTTGCTCAAATGTCATTATTGTCATTGCAGACTGTACGGGAACTTTTGGAAGGGTGTTGAGCAATGTCATCAAGGCTCGACGTTGGGTAGCTTTCACATGCAAGAAGAGAAAGAAGAGTTGCCAAGGGCAAGGAGTTCTCGCTCCTGCCCGAATAAAAACATCATCGTCAGGAAGATAACTGGCATCAGACTGGAAAGAAGAGTTGTTTGGCCCTCTGAGGTGTGAACAGGGCCACGAGACAAGTTTGAAAGGAAAGCCGCAGCCAGAGAGGGGACTCCGCTTGGCGAGTCCCACGCCCCGATCGCAACACTGTGGGATGGCGAGTTCTGCGAACTGGGGGGTCCATGAACATCGGAATCTGGATGGTTTGGCGGTAGAGGGCGAACACGACTCTTGAACTGTGAATAGGAGTTTATCATGTATCCATCTACTTATTGTAATATGTTGCTCGGACAGGACCTTGAACACTTTTGCATGTATCTGCAAACCTTGCTATCACATTTTCAGACCATATCATTGAGAGGATGTAAGGATTCGAAGCCTATTAGGTCCTTCTAGCTTGGGGGGCTGCAGCCCAGGAATCCTGTTCCTCAGTATCTCCTGCCGCTGCGGAATGGCGAAATTGACGCCGAAGGAGCGGATGCAAAGCAATGACTTCAGACCTTGACTAGACAAGCTCTACCTGCTGACTTGTGACTTGAATGATGATAGTCTCGAACTCGGTGTTGGCGGCGGGTACGATCAGATTACTGGAAAGCATTCAAAACCTAGACCTTGGCCATCAAGGAAATGGGAAACATGCATCTGAGCTACAGGGCCTCGCGGGGGTCTGTATTTGGCACGTGAACGACCTTCAGGAACATGAAAGGTTTTTCAGGCCCTGGCTGCTTGCTTCCAGATGATAGGCCACAGCCTCAGGGCCCCTTTGCGAGAACACAGCTCGTCGGCTCAGCACTTGAAAGGAAGCTCAAAATGCAGGCCTACAGAGGAGCCTAAACAAAACTGAATTCATCTGTGCAGGGAAACTTGAGATGCCAGGTGTGCTTGCGCAGAGCCTCCGCCAGGAAGGCGGCGTTGAGGACAGCCCGTGGCTGGTTTTTGGTATGGCTCAGTCAGGGCTTACAACCATACGTCCCGAGGCTTGGTGTCCAAGGTTCTGAGGTTGAGTTAGGTATGTGCAGTAAACAGACCGAGCAATCTTGTTTGCTGGGGCTTGCGTGGGCGTAGGTCCTAGACCGCTGAGACACTCCTCGGCCGGCGGGTTTCGGGACCGGGGGTCTGTGGTCCTGGAGGGGAGGGGAGGCTGACGGAGGCTGAGTAAAGACTGTAACGTTATGAGATTCTACATTGGTAGCTGCACAGGGATGCTGGAGTTCGCAGAACCTAGCATGTGCATCCAAACCTGATCCAAACATCCAAGCCAAAGGTCAGGTCACAATGCAGCAGCAACATTAGCGGAAATGCTCCAAGGAGTTCCTGCGGTTGCAGCAAGAGCGACCCAAGCTGCGCTCGGTGGAACTTCTGGCACTTTGGCTGAATGGGCATTCTGCAAGTGGTCAAATGACCGAGACATAGTCTGAGTAATGATTAGATTGCAAACGGTTGCAACCGTACTGGTACCAGTTTGGAGTTTGGAGATCCAAATCTGAGGGGCTAAAGAAGGAGTCCATTTCTCCTTCCTGCTTTATTGCAGGTACAGTTTTCGGCACATGGTCTCACGCATTCTCAAACGCCGGGTTCAGTAAATCATTGGCGCGCTATAGTCACAGAGACAACGCGTTAAAGGCAGCAACACTCCTCATGCATTACCTTTGCCGCTGCCGCTATCATTCTTCCTCTTCTGCCTACTTGTAGTTGTCTGCAAGCCTAGGATGTGACTCCAGGACGTCCTGTGCACGTGAGGCCGCAAATTGCGGCAAAGTCACCAGCCATGGCTACTGGGCTTGCAAGACGCTAAGATCTATTGTCACTGGAGCTGCGCCAGCATGGAGTTCTACAATTTCGCCGAAGACTCATTTTCCAACGTTCCTACTTGTGGAATGGATCGTACCTACACAAGCGTGGAGGATAGTTCAGCTCAGTTGTGCTTGCAGACGGTCATGCCACCTGCGGTGGCAGCAATCCACAATCTTTCTTTAATGCGTATTTCTCAGAAAGAAGGTACTCAGAAAGAGTCTACATGATGAGCGGTGCATTCTCCCTACCAGCACGACTCACAAGAAGACTTGGTTCTGGGAAATCCACATCTATCTTTGCCGGAGCGTCAAAATTTGACTGCTCCGCGCCAATCTTCCCGCTTGTCATGGGATACCTGACATGCCTACGGAACGGCCAAGGCAAGAGGAAGAGCCGACAGTAATGCACAATAGAGACATGTCATGTTGCTAGTCATAGAGTTGTAAGATCAGAATGCAGCTGCCATAGAAAGTACGGAATCTTCAGCTCAGCCCCGTAAGAGTCGTTAGATGCCAAGCTCAGCGACTCGCTCAAATCCTTGCAGCTTTTGATGCCATGTTATTGAGAGCCAGCATGAAATAGCATCGCACTGGCTAGGACGGCTAGGATGAAGGTTTCGGTCGCGTAGGCATGGGCCAGGGATCCCAGGATGCCCGAGCTTCAGAGAAGCCACCGGGAACCTGGCGATTATTTTCGGCCTCTTCCAGTTCCTGGATCATGCGCGTCAACCATGGCCAAACTGCAGCAGGCCTTTAACCTGCCCGGACGTATGCCCTGCTTCTACATACAGCGGCTTGGATTCGACGTTTAACGTGTTTTTGTTTGGCAGCGCTCTGGCTGCAGCGACGAGTTCCAGATACAGCTAGGCATTTTGGAGTAGCCACCCTTTCTGCTCAGCACGCGCTGAATCCTCGCTGGGAGCTGCCCCACCACGCGAAGTCGCAACGCCTTCCATGGTCCTGTACAGCGCTTCATGAAAGTCCATCCATGGCTCTCTACCCTTGAAATGCAGCTTGGTGAGGTGGAAATCATTTGTGGCTCTAGCATTAGTGCTCTTCTAGAGGGATTCACGATGGACAGGCATGGAGAAAGCATGCTGGAAGATTGTTTGCTGAGACTTTGTCTACAGCGTTAGAATTTTCAGCTTTGCAGAGAAAAAGGTTGAGCTGTATATAAGCAGAACTGTCTGGGGGCACGAGCGAGACACTGTTCCAAAAGCATCATCGTGTTGCAGTAGTGCCGATGCCACACAATTTCAGCACGTGTTTCTGGACGGAGCAGAACGGCCTCGAGCCAACCTCGAGGTGCAGCCCGAAGCCTTGTGGTCGCCGGCCCAACGCTGGCTCCTGTTGGGCTCGAGCAGTTTTGGGCTTTGGGCAGCCCTCCACGAAGCAGTGCAGCTTCAGGCAGTCCCAGAGCCTCAGTCAGAGCGCTTCGGCTCAGGGGTTCAGGTTTGGGGCTGTAGGTTTGTGTGGTTTGAAGGTAAGTGCTGTGCAGCGAGATGCGTGGACTGCGGCGTATTTGCTTGCAAAGCTTCGACAGCTGTAGGAAAAAGGCTTTGGTTTGAGACCGAAGAGGAATGGTGTTGCTTTTTGCATGGGAGCTGGTCGAGGAGCGATTCTGTGGATCGCGGTGTGTATACTTCAGTTTAACTTCCGCACTTTGAAGAAGCAGTAGGTCAGGGGTGCTGTGTGTGTGTAGACCCAACTTGGACTTGACGGAAACATGGAGTAGGGTGGAGCTGGAGCGCGAAATAACTCAGACAGGCGCTTCAGGATTCAATCTGCATGCGGGGTTCCTGTGATGCCATCCAAGGAGCACCTCTGCGCGGGCGGGCACCATGGCAGGTGTCCAGCAGCCGCAGATGAAGCCTGAGGGCAAAGGCGTGAGAGTTTCGGATTTGGCTTTACGGTTCAGGCTTGGGTTTCCTTGTGCAAGAAGATGGGCAAGGAAAACCTGTTCTGCACAGATCGGTACCTGTATGTACCCCTAAGATCTTGTCCAATCTCGGCACCGCTTGAATCTTTAGGTGCCTCCGCGCTTTGGCTTACACTTTTCTCATTCCGTCCACCAGTAGCTTCCTCAGCCCTGGCACGGGGTAAGGGAATCAGGGTCAAAATGCCACGGGATCTTGCACGCGAGTGCGGTTTCGTTACTGTTGGTCACCCCACCGTTCCAGCTCGCAACTGTCCGAAGGTTGGGGCGGTAGCTCTTGGGGCGGTAGCCCCTGGGCCGGCAACTGGGGAAAGGGCTGGGGCAGCCAGGCTGCAGCAGAGATAGGCCTACAGAATTATGGATACTGGTAGCACATTGCAGCTGTCAGGAGACTCACCATGGAGGTTGCAGCGTCATCCTGTCGATAGCTTCCGTTGACTTTGGGCCCCACAGTAGTGTGGCCTGGGACGAGCGTTTCCAAAAGCTCTCCAGCTTGAAAACCAGTTAGTAACCTGTCGCGCTGTTTGCTCAGGTTTGGAACAGTTGCGAGGGCAGAATTATTGGACCTTGCACTGAGGCAGCAAGGGCTGGGGCTCCAAAGGCCAGGCTGGCGGCGTGTGCGACGTTTCGCTGATTTGGAGTGGGATTGGATTATCTCGGGGGGGGGAAGCGCAAATAGCAACTTCACCCAAAACGGTACTTGTAAACGAATCCTTGCAGAAGGATCCTTGATTGTGTATTCTCAAGGATTTGATGTGGTTTGGGACTTGATGAGGGTGTTTGTCGCTCTGTGGCCAACTTGAGCTAAATGGCATAATATCAATTTTCAAGGTCAGTGCTAGCGTCCCGTTAGATTTCATGGATGATTACTGTGTAGTGCCGTAGATGGCCCTGCATGCTATCAAGCGCTGCTGTTGGACGAAGTGAGGCGGATTCTTTGGTGGTCTCAAAGGTGGCATGAAAGGCAGCTGGGGAAAAGACAAGGCCGGTTGCTTCGATGCGACATGTTTGGCAAGCATTCTCAGCCTTTGCGCAACTGTCAAGCTTGTTGCCTCAAACTCCCAAATGCTCTTACCACTTTCTGAGCTGCTCTCATTGGGAGAATTCCAAAATTGTGCGGGTTGCACTTCTAGGCAATGAAGCCCAGCCATCAAAGCAGTGCAGCCGCGCGGTTCTGAAAAGTCGCTGCTTCCCAATCATGCCACCAGGGAAAGAGCAAGATGAAGTGGCCAAGCGGCCCAAATCTTTCGCGGGCACGAATATCCACAGAGCCGGTCACAGGCGAGGTGGTAGAATGGAAAGGCAGCCTGGCCAATCTATGGGTTTGAAGGATGAGGGCGGTCGATTTCTGGGCCGTTTCAGCATAGTAAAGTACGTATGGAGCTTCAAGAAAATGTGCTCGTGTGGAGACTAGAAAAGGTATTGGCTTTGGTTTCGAGCTCATGCTGTCGGGAAGACTCGCTCGTAGATCTTCCTTGAAAAGATTGGTTGATCACATGAACGAGCGAAGCGGCAACCTTCTACTCGTCTTATCTTCACGCCTTGGATATTTTGCAATCTCTTTGCTTGGGTGATGCGTGCGGCAGCAAGCCAGAACACAAAAGCTCGAATGCCCTGAAACAGGAGCCCCTGAGCAGCGGAGAAAAAAGCTCGGAGCAAAACCTTCAGGAATTCGTACGGATTAAGTCTTCAAGTCTGACCACTTGCGTTCGTTCTCATGGCAAGAAGGTTTCTCGTACCTGTCGGATTTAGACTTGCCTTGACTTCGTTATAGTGCTTCTCATCATCTTGATCGGGCCATGACTCACAAAGTTGGGTTAATTAGGCCTGTTCTGGCAAGTGTTGTCTCATGCAAGGTGTTTACAATAGCAAGAATGAGATGTGTCAGCAAGTAGTGGTAAGTGAAGGCAGGCAGGGATCTCTTTTTCCGACCTCGACCCAGTGTGACTGAATTGTGAGGGGGAAGCCTGCAGAGCAAATCTCCAAGAAGCACCAAACTATGCAAAAACGCATTTCCCTCGCCCGCACTTGAGCATCGCACTTGAGCAGGAAAGGCGGGTTACTGAGGAGTCCCCTGATATGGACCGACAACTCAATCTAATTACCTTTGTGTGGGGAATTCTAAGCATTGAAACAGAATGAACAGCAAAGGCAAATACGGCTGGATAAGACCAACAGTGCCCGTGGAACATCCCATGGCAGAGAAACATAAGGCCGGGATTCTCGGAGTCATCGAGTGAAGGGTCTAGCACGGTTCAGGCCAGCCTGAGGCTTTCTACCTTGCAAGAGGCTGCACACAGACTTCCAAAGTATAGGGACTCTGGGTAAATGTGTGGAGTCAGAGACTTCAGCTTGACGTTGACGTGCAGAACCAAGATGCTTGTCTAAACCCAGTCATGGCAGCTGCTTCCTGCATTTCTAGCAGAGGCACTTATGAGGGGGCGAGCGGGCCTTTCAGGTGACATCCTAGTAACTGTCCTAGTATGATGTGATGGTATTGCGAGATGAAGACTACAGACTGCAAGCTTTTTTGAAGAGTTTGATCGCCCTGTCAGGGAAACATCTACGTGGCTTGGCTGCCTTGCAGGTCAACAAGGGTACTTTCAAATCTGTATGTGGGCTATAGCTAGAGTATTTTTGTGTCTCCAGCTGTGTTTGCGCACCAGAAGCCAGCTAGCAAGGGCTTGTTGGAGCAAGAGGAACGGAGGTTAGCAGACGGGTTTGGCCGCTTCCAAAACCAGTTTTGAAGGTCGCAAGGTCTTAAGAGCTGACGCCTCTTGCAACCTTGGCTTCGCCTTTTTTTCAATCCGAACAGAATTGACCTTGAACTGTAGCACCTACTGAAGCACAAGCCTGATGTAGCATTCTGCCACACAGTGAGGTCAGTATGAGTGACCTCCAGGGCGGTCTAGAGGCGACGGGCTGAGAAGGTCTGAGCTGTTTTGTTAACGTCTGACACTTGGCTTCAGGAAGAGTTTGAGATTGCAGGCTTCGTGCAGTGATCTTTTCTTGATCGGACTTCCAAAGCAAATCGGTGATCGACACGGCTTTCTAGGGGTGTTGAATTCTTGTACAGTGTGAGCGCAGTGAAGTCATCTAACGAAATTTTCTCGCTTGCTGGCAATCTACGGTGTACAACATTTTAATATATGCCAGTTCTCCAAAATCGTGATGTGATGTCAATGCACTCCGAGTTAAGCCTACAATCGCGCATCACACGTTGCTAGATGTTCAAGGCGACTGGCCCAAGCATGGCAGTTCTCAACACACAACACAGAGCCGCGAATCTTTGCAAATGATTTCAAGTTGGCTACCGGAAGCCGCAAAGTACATTGAAAAAGGAGAGCCCCAATGTTTTTGTAAAGCTGCAATAGCTTGTCTCTCAGTGGCAGCTGCAATGACCGTGGCTACTTTCAAGACTGGAGTAGAGTGTACGAGCTACTCCTGAGGCCTTGACAGTGGGCAGCCTCTGTCAGTTCCACCTCTTCCAGGACATGTGTATCCTCCAGCGCATGGCATGAGTACTTTGGGTTTAGGATGTGCAAGCTGACCCGGCTGAATTGGAACTGGGCTATCCAAATTTGTTCCCAGACTCTACTTCCACAACCTTGAACTGTTCAAGTATGGTTTTTGTTCAATCTGCCATCTACAAGCAGGCGTCGCAGTACGTTTTGAACAAACATGCACGTGATTGCACGAGTCTCGACCGCCAGCCCTGGAAGCCTTGAGCTGCAGGATGCCAGCGGCCTGGGAGCCGAGGAGGTCATCGGCTCATAGAGGCCAGGGGCCTTGTCCGAGCCTTGCACTTTGAAGCATTTTCGACAGCATTGTTGCAGGGGTTTGAAGGAGGAAGGACCCTGAGTGGAGACCTGTGCCAGGAAGAGTGTAGCTTTTTTTTCCCAGGGGGGTCTTCTAGGGCTTTGTCATCCAGAGCTTCTCATGGCATGTGTTCCATCATTTTGCACCGTGAGTTCAGGAACACGCCCTTGTGGCAGCTACCGGCCAAAGAGAAAACCGAGCGCCTGATGCGAAGGCCTGATGACCGACGGTTCAGCCGTCACTGATTCCTGCAAAATTGTATCAGGGGGTGGATTCTGGATGCTCGAGTCTCAAGGACATGCTCTGACATGTCGTTGATTACAGGGCCAGCGACTTTTGAACCTTACACAAGCATGTAGGTAGGCTTTGGTAAGCATGGTCGCCACTTCCCTGGTAGGCAACGGTAACCTGCACGGCGACGTTTTCGTTTCGAGTGCGGCTAGCAGCACAAACCAACCCATCATTACTAACTCTGGATTGCATGAAGCCTGGAATTTGGGCTTGAGTGAGGGATGCTGAGGAAAGAAGTCCTGATATGGGAAGTTGAGCATGATTTGCGGGCTCTGATAGGGTGGTGAGCAGGGTTTGCCTCATAGATGTTTGGTCATTGAAGTACAGATGCCTGGTACTGACTTGCAGAGCTTGAGACTTCAGTTGCACTTCCGGCATGCTGGTGGTGGTATGTAATAGGAACTTGTCAGTAAGGCCAGCACGAATTTCGCCAAATTTGTGCTGGCAACGCGAATCCAAAAGATCATGATGACCCCCAAGTATCCCACTGCGCTCGCCAGGCCGACCCGAGCCTCGATGCAGCTGCCTCCGGAAAAAAAAGCCGTTGACTTCTTGTGCTGGAATTATTCATTATTCGGTCCATGCTTGCTGCAGTGCCACTTGCATCCAGATCCTGCATCGCGAAAAAACAGTGGCACAAAACAGCTCGTGCGCAGCCGTTGAAGCTTGAGAACTTGAGTCTCAATGGGTGGGCTAGACGTGCAGCCGGAAAGAGTTGGGATGTCAAGAAGTCTAGTTGCAGTTTTTGTGACAACAGCTACAGTGGCAAAAAAGCATCTTCAGAGCAACTGGGTGTTTTGTTAAAGCGAAGATGTCCTGCTCAAAAGGCTCAGGACGTCATTTTAGTTGTCAAGCTTTCAGCAATAACCAGCCCTGAGACTCCTCCAACCCTGTTTTCCCTGAGGCTGTCGCACTGTTCAACAAGCTAGGTGACGCTTAGTGAGATCAGCCATGCAGCGTCCCTCGTGACTATGCAGGAGGGAGTTAGATCAGACTTCCGAAGCCTGTGTAAAGGTGGCGATGAGAGAGTCCATGTCAGGTGCGTGGACTTGTTGTGCGACAGTTTTGTTTCTGCAAAAGGCTCCGCAGTAGGCACCGAGATGTCTGATCAGGGCCTGGGGAAACTGTTTGCAGGTGAGGGAGCAGAGCTGCGACTTGATGTGGTACAGGGATGTTCAGTATTTCTGGTATTTGTCCATTCCCCTAACTGTCGATCCACGACAGGAACATTCAAATAAATGCGCACTCGCTTTGTTGCTTTGGCGAGAACCTTGGTGCAGGGAATGTTGGACGCAAGTCTGTCTAGTTGAATTGTGGGTCTGCAGGTCAGCAAGCTCCAAATTCAAAGGCGTGTATGGGGTCAACCGTGACCCCGAAGATTAAGATCTGGGTGGGCAATTCAACTCATTGCAAGGGAGTACCAATGCACTCAGGCCCTCCTGCAGGACCTGATGGGGCGGTGAGATAGCAAACCAATATCCTAAAGAACCAACAGCCAGAACTCCACCCGCCGCAGTCTGGAATTGCTGCTACGGACTACTACGAACAGACGCTGCCAGTCAGGATGCTGCGCCGCCGCCCGCCTACAAGAGGCTGCGTGCGTTGCTCGGCTAGGGGAGACAGCGGATTGGATGCATAGGCTGGAGTGCAGGTCATATTTCGGTCCCATGATTGGAGCTTCATTTCTTGGTTTAACGAGGCAGCATCAGTTTCGGTTGGAGTATGAATGCCGCCTATGTTAGTGTTGTTCTAGATCGCGTTTTGAGCAGATCTCAATGATGATGCAGCTTGGTGACAAACATGCTCCATCTTGGCACCTATGTAAATCGTTCAGTGAAAGCTTCTAAAGAAGCGAGCGGTACCGCACCACATCTGAGATCGTCACCTGTGTCAAGAACCTAACTGGGACACGCATAGTTTGAAAGCTAGACGTCCTCCAGTTTTTGTTTGGATCTGAAGCAAGCCTGAGTGACGAAGCTCGGATCCAGAAAACGGCTTGGGATTTTTTTGCGGTACTGACTTCTGCAGTGCTGGGCAAAACGCGACGCCGCTACAGAATGCAAGCGCTCTGTTGTGAAGCCCTTGAACATGCTTGAACCTTAATGCGAGTCATTCAAGAAGCATTTGCGACCTGTCCCAGTCTGATGTCTGGAGCTGATAAGTACAACTGCACTTCACAACAACCTAAGCAACCTTGGCAAAAGGCAAACTAGACATGCTCCGCCGACCGCTACAGAAACGGTTGCTGTTTCACCCAGTGCCACTTTGGCAATCTTTTGTGAGGGCATTTGTAGTAGCTTAGTAGCCTGTGAGTAGCCTATGCAGCTAAGGGCCCCCAGTGCATGGACTCCCCGACGGCCAGAGCCGCGAGCGCCTATGAGTGCCTTGCCGTCAGCGAGATCTTACATGGCGAGTTCACGCATAACCCCGGCAGTATGCAGGTCTGCTTCAGGGTATAGGAGGGTCCCAGCTGGACAGGTTCATTGAAATGCTTTAGCAGCTGAGAAAAACGTGTTCCTGCGCTTACAAGAAGGCCGTGAAGTTCCGTGGAAGTCGAGAACATAATTCGAGCTGAAGCAGGACAAAGTACACATGCCATTCGGAATGATACCAAGGAAGATCCAGCTTTGATCATTATAGGCAGCATTCGTGACCAGGGGTCTATGCAAGTACACGTCCTTAGTGTTCACATTGTGTGCCTTTGTCATTCAATAGCTCAATCAGTGCTCCTCTTCTTCCTCCTCGTCCACTCCTCTTCTCTGTAACTCCTTGTCTAAGAATAGGTAGCACTCGACCAGAGCGGTTGCTGCAGAATGTTACTCTGCGTGCTTGCATTCTTCCTGTGCGTTCTTCTGGTCTTCTTCTTGTACGTGCTAGCTGCTACTGCACAAGTATGGGCGAGATCGTACTAATGCCTCATGATCAGGCTTCAGGCTCAGGCATGTTGGAGCCAGCCCATGGATTAAGATGATTAAGTGGGAGGGGCGTGGGCGGACGTTTAGACGATAACTGCAACACTGCAACCATGAAGCAGGCGACATCCCTACTCAGGGTTGCTTATTGTAGTTCTTGAATGCTGTTTGGCGGAGCAAGCGCGAAGCGCATGTATTAAACCGCTGGGCAAAGATGGATAGCTGATGGTTGTGGGTGTGTGTGGTCTGGCTGTCAGCTCCTCTGCCTCCGCCCTCAACGTTGCAGCCCACTCCAAAGGCGAACGCAGCCTGGGTTTGTGACACTCACATGCAGTGCGCTCGTCTGGTCGTCTGACATTTTGACCATGCAGATTCGATCGTAGACTTCGTCTCTACCTAAACCTATGTCCCTCCAACCCTGAGGGTACTGGATTCTGGAAGTACGGCTGTAGCTGCATCAAAGTTCCATGATTCGAACTGCAAGTCTTATCAACAGCAGCAGCAACAGCAGCAGCAGCAGCAGCAACAAGGCCTCTGCCACAGCCACATCGGCTGCATCAACAGCAGAGCATCGTTTGCATCCGCGGTGGTATGCAAATCTCTCGAGCTGCGTGCGTGCCAGGCGTGGCCAGTCCGCCCCAGCGCGCCCGTGGCACCCAGGCCAGTGGCTCAGCTTCCCGAGCCACAAACGTTCAATCCATGCAGGCATGCTTGTGGGTTGTTTCGGGTTGTTTCGGGTTGCAGTGCGATTCGGTGGTGACTACCAAGTCCAGTTCTTTCAGCAGCACGACACTGGCTCCAGGAATTCTGTAAAGGCAATGATTTTGCTCTGTCTCACGAAGCTGTCTCACACAGACTTTATAGACTTGGCGGGTGGAACGCCAAAGGTAACGCTTCAGCATTCAATGTTGTGCAGACAGAGGCCTGTCGAGTCGTCTTCAGCCTTGATCAGCCTTGCAAAGTTAGTTTTGGAATTTCTTGAAGCTAAAGAGTGTGCAAGCCTCTCAGGACATGAGGCTCGTATACCAACTTGTCATCACGATGGTCCATCATGCTTGTCATAGCTAAATCAGAGTAACAAGCGAGTAAAACGCATTTGCACAGGATTCTGGCCCTGCGAGCTCAGCCAACAGCCGCCCCTGGCCTAGCCAAGGCGCCTCTTGCTGATATTTCTGGGGGGTGAGGAGAATTACGATCTCCTATGCATGTGTGGCTGTCACAACACAGCAGATCTGCCTCTCGATATGAAAGTGTCTTAGGTCCCGAATCTTTGCGCATCGTTATTGCATGTGGCATCCAAGAAAGAGACTAAGCTGCTTCCAGCGAGTGTGAGGTACATCGCAGCATTATTACCCCATGCACACATGTAATATCGCGGTTCGGTAAAACAACATCCAATGAAGTAGGTGTCACTTGAAAAGAATCACTACCCCATTGTGGTTGAACTGAGAACGGGTGTGCAGTCCTGATGTATTTCACGGGAGGTCGTCGTTGACTGGGGGGAGAAACACCTGAACTGTAGTTCAGACTTTTCTGGTACCTTCGGACAAGACATTTCCTTTCGAGAGCTGTATCTGTGTAAAACGGGTGTTTCCGCCAGATGCTGGCTCGCAAGGTTTTGGCATCGGCTTGTCCCCCGAGTACTATCCGTGGGCTCCGAAGCTATGGGGTTACCATGTCTTTGCTAGAACTCTTTGTTTGGGTCGAGGCCTTCTTGTGGAGAGAGACAATCCGTGGCTTGTCTGGATAGACATGTCTAGAAACCTCAAGACCCAAACCCCCAGCACCCGGGTTAACCCCATAGGTTTGGAGCCCCCAGGCATCGAATCATTCGGACACGGAGTTCGTGTGCAGGAAGCAGAGTACTTGCCTACTATGACGAGCGCATGAAGAGCATTCTAGAATTGACGTTCGCGTGCTGAATGTCCACCTTCCAAAGCTTCCTAGCGCAACTGACCGGAGAAGCCGTAGCTGCAACGGCAGCCTGATGGGGGCCAATTTGCGTTCTCATTGTAGTTTCCGGGCAAGACAAAGGTGCCAACAAAAACCGCATCATCCAAGCTCGCCAGGACAAAAACTTCAACAACTAAGAGTAAGTGTAAAGTGACAGTCCAGTGTCGCTTTACACTGAACGAAAAGACGGACCAACACGACAAGGCTCTGCCTTCTGCCTGTCCTGCCAGTGCAAAAATGGATGAACCTGAACAACAGCGAACAGTGTCTTTGTGACATCTTCTTCTAATGCCTCATGTCATCCAAACCATCTCAGAGCAGCTGCACGCAGCACTCAACAGACAGTAGTGGCGATACGAACACGCGAGGTGAACGCAAATCCGCCTGGTGGACAATGCTAGATCACTGTCAAGTACTTCCGGGCCCCAGGACAGATTGCAAAGAGCTCCTGAGGTTCCTTGCAGTGGTTCAATCAGATTCTGCAGCGCTCTTGCCACACTAGCCACATTTGTTTACTAGGATGAAAGATGACGAAAAGTGTGCTAGTACTTTAGTCCATGTTGCCGCTGGGGCTGGGGCACGCGCCGCAATGCTTCGAGCTTCAAACCGATCAGCGATGGGAGCAACAACAAGTCGGTGCTGGGCAAAACTTGGACCTACCTCCAAGCCTGCAACTCCCTCCACAGATGTTCTCCCCACCAGATGCCCCAAACTATCTTGGCCTTACGCTTGAAGTTAGTCAAGACTATTTGGGGTGACCCTGCCACTTGCCCCGGAAGGGGGTTCTGATTCAAAAGACAGTTGTTCTTTCCAGCACATTTTTGCACCTGCCCCTCGACGTGCGCCGCACAAATTTCAGAAGGTTGGTCTGTACAGGTAGTCTGTGGTCTGGGACGATGTTGCGAAGGGTTCTGATTAATTCGATGCACAAGAATTTTAGAAGGCTCCAAGCCTGACCCAGCCAGCCATGTGGGCTGATCACGGCCTCGTCTTATTCGAGCTGCTGTCTACAAGCCTGGTTCCAACACAGCGCGCCAAAACCCGGAATTGCCAAAGCCATGCACAGGGACCACACCTGAAGCCTAGACTAAAGTGAGGCCTATGGCTCAAGATCCTCAAGGCCATCCCTACAGAAGCAATCCATGCAACAGGCGCTCGCCGCACCCAAGCACCTCGCAGCGCCACGTCCGCGTGGCACTCAGCTCCGCCCACTGCAACAATGAGTTGCAAGAGGTGGTGGTCAGTGAGAAGGATGAACATTTGCACGCCGATAGGCACCTGGAAGCTCTCACGTGATCTGGGCGTTGAAGAAGTTTGACAGGAAAGGGATCCAAGAAGGAGCTGTCTTCGCCTGGAAAATTTGGGCTGAACCGCAATGTATCTATCTACTGACCAAAGAGTTTTGTTTCGTTTCTGTGTAGCCCAAAGCAACCCTGCACCTCAAACCTGGATAGTTGCAGCAGAGCTAGAGTGCTAGAGCTTCCCTCATTTCTCGCATCGTGCGCTCGTTAGGAAGTGTGCCCCATCCGGCTCGCTGTCCATGAAGGTCAGCGCCGTTCTGCCTATTCTGTAAGGCTGTAAACGTTTTTCATCTGAGACTTTGGTCTGTGCAAACATTGTCTTGGGAACCTGTGCTTTGGAACTAGTTTGGAATCATTGTTGAGAAGTCGGCTTGGACGCAGTGTTGACACACGTCTTCGACCACAGCATTCGTACGAGTCTGCACCATGGGAGATCGGACTTATCGAAGCAGAGTGGGATCAAGTTTTCCTGATTGCTGCAGCCTGTCGCCGTTCGTATCACAGGCTCGCTGCCCAAAGTTGGTTTACCGCATGGTTTGTGTTAGCAGGCACATGTACGTGGCTTGAG